TTTCTTTCTTTCTTTCTTTCTTTCTTTCTTTCTTTCTTTCTTTCTTTCTTTCTTTCTTTCTTTCTTCCCTCCCTCCCTCATTCCCTCCCTCCTTTCTTTCTTTCTTTCTTTCTTTCTTTCTTTCTTTCTTTCTTTCTTTCTTTCTTTCTTTCTTTTTCTTTTTGAGACAGGGTCTCACTGTATAGCTCAAACTGGCCTTGAACTCACTTTGTAGCTCAGGCTGGTCTTGAACTCACAGTGATCCTCCTGCCTCAGCCTCCCAAGTGCTGGAATTACAGGCATGCACCACCATGCCTAGCCTGTCTGGCTATTTTCTAAAGGGAAAAAATCTTAAGTAAAACTAGCTGGACATGGTGGCACATGCCTGTAGTCCCAGCACTCCAGAGGCTGAGGCAGGAGGATTGCTGGGAGTTTGCAAAACATTTGATCCAAAATATCAAGCAAAATAACGAGAAAAAAAAAATTGATCCAAACTTGGAAATTTCCTAACAAAAAATAGATAATTTTTCCTTCTATTACATTATCCAGTTACTTTTTTTTTTTTAAATCTTTTTGAGGCAGAGTCTCACTATGCAGTTCAGGCTGGCCTTGAACCATTTGTAGTGCAGGCTGGTCTTGAACTTGCAGTGATCCTCCTGCCTCAGCCTCCCAAGTGCTGGGTCCAGTTTCTTGCATAAATTGTTCAGTTGGGTGTTGAGGTATGTCTAGACATGTAATAGTGAAACTTTCTCATTGCAAGGAAATGAACCTATTTTTTAAACCTTATTAAAGTTAACTATATTTGAAGTGTGCAACCGTCACAAATGCGGTAAGGGAATTTCTCCTTCTACTGGCCCCTTCCCACAACTTCCTGATATCCTGCTTGTGTCCCTAAGCAATCATTCATACTGAGCTGCTTAAAAAATAAAAAAAATACTGCTTCTGTTAGTATAGATCCATTTTCATTTTCTAGCATTTTATATAAGTGGAACCATTGATAGTGGTGTTTATTAATTTTTGTGTTTTTTTGTTTTTTTCTCTAGTATGGCGGGGTTAAACCTGGGGCCATCGCACTAAGCTATATCTCCAGCTTTTTAAAAAATTTTTTTAGAGACTGGTTCTTGCTAAGTTGCAACATCACCCAGCCCTCAAATTTATGATCCTCCTGCCTCAGCTTGTCAGAGTGCTGGTTGTGGTGGCACATACCTGTAATCTCAGCACTCTGGAGGCCGAGGCAGGAGGGTTGTAAGCTTGAGACCAGCCTGGGCTACATAAGAAGTTCAAGGCCAGCCTGGACTAAATAACAAGACTGTCTTAAGGAAAAGAAGTGTTATCAGGATAGGGCCTCTTCCTTTATAATCCTTTTACTGTGTACCTTGGGATTCCCAGACAATCGCTTATGGAATTGCTATTCTTAGTCACCTGTGACTGGCTCCTGATGTAAAACAAATTGATGTTAAGTTCCTACCATTACAAATTGTGTAGGTTACTGTAGGTTTTTGGCAGTAAACCTTCAATCAGTTAAGAAAAATTTTTTCCATACTTAGGTTACTAACAGTTTTGAGCAGGAATGAATGTTGAAGGATGAAGTTGTTTTTCTGCATTTATTATGAGCACCGTGTGGTTGTTCTGCTTCATTATGTTTATATGGTGAGTTACAAACC